ATTGGATCCTTAAAATTCCACGATTTTAAGTTTCCTCTGATTGTGAGTATATAATAAAACAGAGTGTTCTCAGAGCCCTATAACTGAACGTGAATGTGAATTTGCATTTGGAGGGCGAAAAGAATGCACCGAAAATGTCACTTGCGTTTTATTGTGAAAGATACCAAATAGCACTAAAGCAGAAAGCACTTGTAGGTCTACGTTATTGGAATTGGCTTGGAGTTACCGATGACTGAATTCGTGCAGAAGTTCACATGGCTATATTTCCCCGATCCAGCAGTACCATTCTACCGAGTGACAATATTCTCTCGGTACGGTGAAGTGACGCCTGATAGCAGCAAATATTGGTCGGTGATGTGTGAATGCGCACGGAACATTGATGATAAGGTAAGTACACGATGGATGTGGTCAGTACGGTAACCATAGAAATTGACGGTACAGTGACGTTGCATTTCGTAAGAACAGTATAAATATATTTTACGCTTATTTATTTTTATTTATTTAATCAGCAAATCAAACAACTCATTACGAGTTTATGCCTCTCTGTTATTACCAATATCACTAATATCACATTCTTCTTTCCTTGGCATTCTTCTTTCCGCGCAGCTAACGATAATAGCGTTTGGAATCATCTGTCTTCATGAAATCCGAACTTGAATTATTGTTTTGGCAAGCACAGAGGTTTTGGGCTACTCTCCCATATGCCCATTTATTTCTAGGGAGAGGGACTCAGAATGAGGCCGAAAATACATTTTATTTTACGTTGTAGTTGCTTATTTAACTGCATGATAATAGACCACCACCACTTGATATCACGTTGACATCAATCTCATGTTGACTTCCTTTGCAGCAGCTAATTGTTGCATATGATTCTTGCTTCGCAAATTGTTCCAGTGAAAACCAATGAATATTTTCGCAGCATACTTAAACAATCCAAAATTTAATTTCAGTTAATGTAAATAATTCGTTCACTTGTGTAGTCGATCAATCAGTTTGTTATGTTGTTTGTAGATTACCAAAGAAGAGATGAGCGAATTAGCGATCAATGGTCTGATCAAGAAAGGAATAATGTGTCGCGAGAAAATCGTTGATGTATATTCAGTAGTGCTGGATTATGGATATCCAATACCTTCTGTGGAGGTAATACAGTCACTACGAAATTCTTTTCGATTCTTTCTCGATAAACTTTCCACATCAACACAACTTATGAGTTGTTTCACTGATGAGTGTATAATTAGGTGTGACATAAAGAAAATGATCGACCACTGTTGTGTTGTGAGCGATTCGAACGAGCATTCAAATACACCCAGGTGTCACTTCAATTCCACGGGAAAAAAAGAAATACTTGAGTAGAGCCCTCCTTATCTGTTCGTTACGAGCGACCAACTAATAATAAACGTTTTAAGAGGAGGAACGACGATTGTTTCATTTCATTTTTCTTGTCACTCTGTTCAGTCCAAACTCAAATATTTCCTTAAGAACTAATCGGAAAACTCTTATCGCTTGAAAATGTTCATCATCAACTTTCAGCGTGACAGCGAACTGGCACGAGCACATAAGACTCTCGAGGAACATCAAATCTTTTCAAGAGGTCGTTTCGGTGGCTGGAAGTATGAGGCATCGAATCAAGATCACTGCTTCATTCAAGGCAAGGAAGTCGTCGATAGAGTCTTACTGAACGAACCTGAGCGGTTGTACAAAACCGGCGTAGCACTCAAACAAGGATAATCCAACTCGTGTCCAACAACTCCCACCATTCTACACTACAGTTGCCATTCATTTACGCAAATCTCCTCTTCCACTGCGGACCTCATGCATCGCTCGCAATCAACTGCTGTCATCAACTCTTGTCGCACAAGTTCCGCCGCCATCCACCCAAAGAACTCTCACTACCCATAACTCAAAAGATTTCTTTAGCTGCATGTTTTGCATTCCCCTAAAAGATGTCCACGTATTGTATAGGTGGTGTCCTACGTCCGTAAGCAATCAGGCGAGCACTTTCC